GTCAATATATTGTCCAATTTTCATTTGATGCCTAAGGCTTCTATTTGATAAACTTTGTATCTGATTTGAGCCTGAATTAACCTTAGCCTTGACGCTGGCTTTTCTATCGTCTGATATTTTTTCTAGCCAGATTGTGCTTGAACATATTCCACTGTTTAAACTTTTCTTTTTCCGACTGAAACACTAATGCACAAGTTAGTAATAACAATATATATTATATTTGTCATATTCAAAACCTTAGTGGGAATTGCGAATTTCGCTTCGTCTGACTTAACACTAGGTCACCAAGAATGTCCAAACACAATGTTGGGATCTCTAGATATGACCTACACAAGAAATAATGCCAAAATAGAAAAAAAAATTACAGGAATTAACTAAAATTTACTACAAAGAACAAAATTATTCACTAGAACAAATCAAAACTAATATATCACAATATGATACTAACAAAATTCAAAAAAACCAAAAATAATGCATAGAAAGATATACAAAAATTGATCTATCAAAAACAAAATAATTGATTATTTACGTAAATAATCAATTATTTCTATCAAAAAACTTTATGTCATTTTTCACATTCAAAATAGAGATACTTGAATCTTTGTGATATTATTTTGAAAAATACTCTTTTGAAAAATGTTTCTTTTTGCAAGAAGTGGTTTAATACCCTTTGTGGGAACCTCAAGAAAGAATTCAAGAATTGAATTGATCATCATCTTCATGAAGTTATAGGATAAGCTACAATGATTTGATTTACCTACTCCAATATGTTATATACATTAGATGAAATTGTTCTTTAATCTCTATAACTTGTTTTCTTAAGTAGGTTTCTTTGGAAATAAAGAATCTCGTGGTGGGCTACTACAAGTAAGTGTTTATTAGGGTGTAAAAAGTGGTTTCTTAATATTGTAGAAGTGTATTACAAGTGGTGTTGTCATTGTAAAACTTTTGACATTAAAGTAATGAAAAAATCTCAATGGGATTGATTGGGAACTAGATGTAGGTCACAAATAGATGTGACTAAATTAGTATGATTTGGTTGATTATTTTTCTCTATCCATATACTTATCTTTACATTCTTGCAAATCTAATTTTGTGCTTGATGTTATGTGACATGAAACATGAACATTGCATATAGAACTAAGTAATTTTTATTTTGCTTAATGTCTCAACATCATATCCTATATACAACTATATATCAATATACTTTTTTGGAAAGTTTTAGAAAAGTTTTATAAAACCAAAAAGATTCAAGAAGAAATTTTAATAATCAATGCACCCCCTCTTGGTTAAACTATCTTTTCTAACAATTAGTATCTAGAACAAGGTTCTTGAAAATTAATCAAGTGTATTTAAAATTGTTAGGAATAATTTTCCATATGGTAAGGGAGTTTCAATACATAGACCTCATATTTTCAATGGTAAAAATTATGTATATTGGAAAATAAGAATGAAATTTTTATTGAAGCATTTGATATAGCCATATGGGATGCTATTGAGAATGAGCCATATATTCTTATGAGCGAAGAAAAGGGTGAGAAGAAAGAAAAATATTGGAGTAAGTGAAGTAATGATGGAAATATAAGAGCACAATATGATTATACAGATAAAAACATCATTACATCTACATTATCTCATGATGAATTCTTTAGAGTTTCTCAATGTAAATCTTCTAAGGAAATATGGGACACTTTGCAATTGACAAATGAGAAAACTAGTGATGTTAAGACATCTAGGAAACACACACTAAATAGAGAATATGAACTGTTGCGTATGAAATAAGGTGAAAGTATTTTGATTTTTGAAAACGTTTTATGCACCTTATAAATCACCTTATTGACCTTGGAAAAAAATTGAGGAGGAGGAGCTGAATCTCATAAGTACTGTGATGTTTGGATAGATCATGGCAAGCCAAGTGACAACTATTAAAGAGTCAAAGGACTTGACTTTAATCACATTAGCTACTCTCTTTGGTAAGTTGAGGGAGCATGAGCAAAAACTACATATATTTGAAGAAAATGAGTAGTTGGACAAGAAAGAAAAAGAGTCTCATTGAAGGCTTTTACCTCCAAAAAAGGAAATAAAATTGCTAAAGATTCAAGTTCTAAAGATTCGAATATGGAACATTTCAACTTCATAGTGAGGAAATTCAAGAAGTTTTTGAGAAAGAAGAAAAAATCAGCTCAAAACTTCAAGAGGAATAGTAAAAATGATGAAGGAAATGTTGTTCAATACACTTGCTTTGTGTGTGGAAAATAAGGACATATCAAAGCTAATTATCCTATCTACCTAAAGAAACTACAAGAGGATAGAAAAAGAAAAAGGTAAGATAAAGGAAAGAAATATTACATAGCATAGGATGACAATGACTCAAGTTTTTCAAGTGACACATCAGAAAATAAAGAAGCTAGCTTATGCTTGATGGTTGAGTGGAACAATAAAGCAATGTAAGTGATTATGATTTTTATTCTAATCCTGATTATGATCAATTACAAGAAACTTTCGTTCAGGTACATAAGGAAGCACTAAGAGTAGGAGCTCTTAATAGTAAGCTTGATGGAAACCTTACAAGAGACCAGATTGATGTAGCTTCTCATTCAAGCTTATAAGGAAAGGATCTTTACTTCTTGGACTCCTTTAAGCTTCTTCAATAACATCCATGAAAGTTAGAAGCCATTTCACCATAGAAGATGATGTAAAGGTTCTCCTTTGTGGCACCACACTCTTGAAGAATGATAAGATTTTTCAATTTCTCACCACACTCAAAAGAGGACAAAAAGAAAATGAATAATTTCAAAGAGAGAAACAAGCTTTGAGAGAGAAAATTAGAGATAAAATTTTGGCCAATTTTATATAAAACTCAAAGTGTCTACAAAATAGGTTATAAACAAGCCATGTGACATGTTTGAGACATATAGGAGATAACTAGATCTAAAAAATCCAATGAGTAAATTCCAAGTGTCCCTAAAAAGGCAACGATACATGCAAAAAAAATAGAGTATTCACAGTACCCACCATATACACATGCTCACTAGTTTGCAAGGCTCAACCCGGATGAGCTTGGAAACAGGCGACTTGCAAATCGTCAGCGACTTCGACAGAGCGTTCACTTCGAGAAAGGTTCTAAACCTACTCTCGAATTCCCCCACATCCCCCCTAACCCACTCGTACCCCGGAATGGAGATTGGGGGTGCAAATCCTTGGGGTTGTTCCCCCCTCTTCTTCTTATCATCACCAACAGCAACCATTTCCTCGACGACCACCACTGTATCCCCACGCACCTTGGCCTTTCCCTTGGCCTTCCCAAGGGTAGCTTTAGGGGGGACAGAACCCCCCTCTCCCTCGCCAGCCATTGTTCAAAACACAACTAACAAAAAGGGGGCAAGGAGAAATACCTGATGCTTCTAGAACTGACCCTCGAATACTCGTAAACAACGACGACAGGCGAAGAAAGCGCTACCGAAACTAGACAATGGGGACGACAGAGAGGATAAAAGAACTGACAAACGAGGAACTAGAGAGACAAATGAAAAAGCTATAAGGAAATAAGGAGGGAAACCAACGTTTAAAGCGAAAAACGACAAAGAAGAAAAATCATTAAATACAGCGTCATAATGGCAAGGTGCACCTCATCATTATGGGTCGTCACTCTTTATTACAGTCGCCTCTGTTCGCGAAACGAGGCGACACTCATATAACATGTGGCCCTCGGCCCAAAAGGCGGAAATGAAGAGTCACGACCCTCAACCGACCTCGGCACTAACTCCTCGGCTAATAGCACTCGGAGCTTGGGGGGTTAGTGTATTACCCCACTTCGGCACTAACTCCTCATCTAATAGCACTCGGAGCTCGGGGGGCTAGTGTACCACCAATATCAGTATCAGGGCCCACCTCAGTATTGAAGAAGTCGGGCCACATCGACTTATCAAGTCAGCCCACTCTCCAATTGATAAGATAAACTGATAAGATCTCAATCTTATCAAATCATAACCGATCCCACTATCAGTCAGGGAAAAAACCCTAATCTACATCAAGGTACGTGCATTATATATATGAGATTCATACACCCACAAAAGACTAATTTAAGCATTGGAGTCTCTTTTACAGGTACCAACCCCATCTCAAAACAGCCGACGTACCAAGCAGAAGAGGCTCGCCGATTTTGCCCAAAGATCGTCTCCACACCGATCTCAGGTAAGAACAGGTTCAAGACACGCCATGTCAAGCTATGAAGTCTTCATCAAGATGAAAACCTCTGAGAAGAAGATGCAGTGCCTAATAATTCTTAGGATAAAATGGACATTTCTCTTACGAAAATAAAATTAATACAATTACAAAAAATTTATTATTAAAATCAAATTTTAAATTTGGACCATTTATTATTCTTATAAATTTATTCTAGAACTTAAAATAATTGGTCACATTCACAAAATGTATTTTTTAATTTCTTCACTGTGAACCACTTGAAAGAAGGATTAATCTTATACACTAAAAATGGTAATTCTAAATTCTACATTTCATCCATTATTTTTTCTTGGATAGGTGACATATAAAAGTTTGGTAGATGGCCAGATCACATAGCATTTTGATGTAGTTTAAAGAGTAAAGTGTCAGCACTGTTCTCCCTCGAGTTTCGCTACAAAACCCATAATATGCTACCAAAGGTTTTCTTTTTCTTTTTCTTTTTACGATACTACCAAAGGTTACTTCATCTTGATTTTTAAATATCATGTTGATGGCTCGTAGTGGTATAAAATATAAAATATTTATATCTATTATAAATCTTTATCTATTATATAGTGATATAATTATTAAAAAAATGATCGTTAGTATTTTTTTTAAGTAATCAATCATAATTACCTATTTAACTTATTTTTTATTTTATTTATAATTTCTAAAACATGACTTTTTTTTGCTGCCAGTTATAATAAAGCAATAAACTAACCATAAGGATCAAACAAGCGCAGCGCACGTGGAATGCGTTGTAATTAGTTAATTAATTAGAAACAATAAGCAATGTAAGTCAAAAAGCCAATTTAGATGTCTTCTGATTCTCCACTCCGATAACAATATCAATTCCAATTCTGATTTGGTTCGGAAAGAAGAGAAGTCAAGTCATCTCTCATCTTTTGTAAATATGGCAGGCGATACAGAAACAAAGAAGATCATAATTGATACCGACCCTGGCATCGGTAACATACATATGACATATCTGGATTTCAATTTATTTTGTTTCGTTGTATCGTGGTAATCCGAATCTATCAGAAGTTTCTGTTTCTTTGCTTTTGCTTTTGCTCTCAAATCAAGCTTTAACTTAAATTTTTTATTCTTAATTTTTTTTATCAATTGGACACTTGGTCTGCTTGATTTTTCCAATTCCTTGTTTCTCTGAGCATCGCAACTGTTTTCTGCAGATGATGCTATGGCAATATTCCTTGCTTTACGATCACCCGAGGTTGAAATTATTGGACTCACAACCATCTATGGAAATGTTTACACCACTCTGGCAACTAGAAATGCCTTGCACTTGGTAAAAATAGTTGGATTGTTTCTCAAAAGTATTTGTTTTCTCTGGTTAATGAAGTTCATTCACCCTTCACTTATTCATGATAAAAAAGCCTCCTTCATAACTTGCATATGCAGTTGGAGGTTGCTGGGAGAGAAGATATACCCGTGGCAGAAGGATCTCATGTGACATTAACTGTAAGTCTGTCAGACCTATCACAACTTTAATTGTTAACTTCCTTTCTTCCCTTTATTTATTTATTTGTTTTTTTTCTTTCGGAAATTGCTATGAATGTCACATGAGTATTTAGAACTAATTAGTATATTTGATCTTTATCTGAATCCCTATACAATAATCATATAATTGGATACTTTATACTATTTATATTACATTTTCAGCACACTTGAAATTTCAGTGAGGCACAAAATAATAATTTATACACTCATCATGCTATTATTTTGAATATTTTCCTCATTTCAACCTGAATGATCACAAAATTTTATTTGTACTTGCGATAAATAATATATTTTTGCTGTCTATTTAAATTTGTTTTTTTCATTCAAATGCATTGTAGCTTATCACCTCAAAGAAAAACCTAATTAAACAGAATTTTCGGTTTGAAATTAAAAGTTCTGCTTCTTCAGTGTTCCCTCACATTTGACTCCTCCAATTATTGTAATCCTTGTCTGTTTATGCAGAAAGGAACAAAACTTCGCATTGCAGATTTTGTCCATGGGACAGATGGACTTGGCAACCAAAATTTTCCTTCACCCAAGGGTAAGCCCCTTGAAGAATCTGCTGCTGCTTTTTTGGTTCACCAAGCAAAAGTTAACCCTGGAAAAGTCACTGTAGTGGCATTGGGCCCTCTTACAAATATTGCTTTGGTATGATATAGTACAATTTCCCAATATGGCATTTTCAAGTTATCATTCATACCGTTTTCATAGCAATATTATATTTTTGCAGGCTATACAGCTGGATCCGGAATTTGCTAAGAACATTGGGCAGATTGTTCTTCTTGGTGGGGCTTTTGCAGTAAATGGCAATGTGAATCCAGCTGCTGAAGCCAATGTGAGTGTTTCCATCCTGTATTCAAATTATTGATATAACTTCCATTAAATATTATATCATTCACAACACAATCTGTCTATCTCTTTGGTTGGATTTGGTTCCAGATATTCGGTGATCCAGATGCTGCAGACGTTGTATTCACAAGTGGAGCAGATGTACTTGCAGTGGGGATAAATGTTACACACCAAGTTATACTGACAGGTACCCTTTGACAAATTCCTTTGATCTCCTTTTTGCTACAGTTATGTAGACATTTTGTCTTAAATGGATATATTTCCTTTGATAAATTTTGTATGGTTTACTATTTCTTCAAATGTTAAAGTAATTTTATTTGATTTTTCTTTCAGAATTTCTGAATAGCTGATCTAGCAATATTTTATAAGAATGTTTTTAATTATTTATTTAATAAATTCCCTCTTTTAAATTTTTCAGCTCAACTCGAACCCTTAGAAATGTTGTTGGATAACTAGGGCAATAGATTACTAAATTGTTCATTTACTGTCTACCACACCCCAAAAATGTTTTTAAAACAAAATGGCGAGTGGAGATGAGAATTTTTTCTATTGAAACATGTTATGTTTACCCTGAATCTATCTATTAACAACTTTCTTCTGTAAGGTGTAACAATCAATTAATTTTGCACATGTCTTATAGGACTCCATTTTATACTTATTTACTGAGGTTAGATAGTATCCATTCTTTTTTCACGTTATAGCCACTTAGTAGGGTCTCTTGGTTGACGCTTTTTTTGAATGCAGACACACGGAAATATCACTGTATTTTGGATTGACAAAGACAGTTCAAAAACTGCGTATAACTTCAATAACCTCTGATTTTTTCTGCCTGATAATCGTTAATGACCAACTCTCTCAGAAGTTTAAACTGATTGGTGAAGTTTCTTGAATGATTTTATATTCATCCGTAATACTAGTATTTGGAAACCATGGTTTTCTGAAACCCACTCAAAATTTGTTGTTACTTTTGTGTCTCATATTTGCACTCTTGTAATATTGAAGAGAAGTTGACATCAGTTAAATAGCATGATCATGATTCTATTTTAATTATTGTACATGCCATTTAACTTCCTCAGGCACCAAACTCACAACTGTTTTGGTTTACTAAAAAAACATGACTAGGTTCTGATCGAGAAAAATTGGCAAGTTCAAATGGAAAATTTGCTCAATACTTGAACAAAATCTTAGATGTATATTTCTCTTACCATCAGGAGGCATACAATACCAAAGGTTTGTCTTCATAGTGCGATAAGTATTGGTAGAGACCTAATAATCTAAATTACTAATTGTAGTTATTTTGTATACAGGGGTTTACCTTCATGACCCAACTGCACTTCTTGCAGCTGTTAATCCTTCACTTATAACGTGCATAGAGGGTATTGTCAGAGTCCAAACGTGTGGCATTACAAGGGGACTCACATTACTCTACAACAAACAAAAAAGGTAGAAACCACTAGAGGACTATCTCTAATTTAAGTTATCTATATTTGTCTGTATGCTAATGCATACTTTGTCGACAATTCTCATTTTTTTTTAAAATCGTGCAAAATAGTCTGTTAGGATAGTACTGTATTGCATTTCGTCCTGAAACTTTTTCTCAAGAACAACAGAATAGTGCACAAATCAATTTCTCTATTATGCTGAAGCCTTGCTCTTCTACCCCCATCTGTGTTCTATCACCAGTATTCTCTTGAGCTTGTAGCATTACTTTTTAAGCCTCTATTCGTAGTTTTCAGGAGAAGTCTTCTCATGCTGTAAGCCTTTGTTCTAATACTTCTTCTCTGGTACTGATCTGTTTACTCTTGATCCTTCTCATTTCAATCCAAGGATCTACGCTTCAGAGCATAACATAAACTCACAACACCAAATCAAAACATTCTGTGTTACAAAAAAATAATAACATTTTCAATTTAGTTTTAATCATCAAAACATAATTCAAAACCTTTAATTCACAAGGGTTTTGGACCTTGCATAATTAGCATTTCCATTCTTGTTTCTAATTTGTTGCATTTATGCACTTGATATTATGCTTTTGAAGTCCAAGAGTTCTACTCTAGTACAATGAACTAAGGTCAAGAGAACTTGGGGCATGTGAGTGTCTGAGACGATGCCATTACAGCTTATTGGTCCCATTGGTGTAAATCTCGTCCAAAGTATCATCAGTCAAGATTTCTTTTGTCGAGGATTGCAGGAAATATTTTTTTTATTAAATAGTTATTTGTAGTAACCCAAATTAGATGCTATACTTGTTAGATATATGTGCCCGTTTTCATCTTTAGGACATATTTAAATAAACTTCTCTAGAAATACTTTTAGGAGAGAAAAATAAGAAGAAAAATAAAATAAGTCTCTTCATAAATTAAAATTATATGTATAAGTTAATTTGTAGAAACTCTCTCTTATTAATTTATCAAAAATCTTGTTTTTTAATTTATGCATAAACTATTTCTTCCTATATTTTTATTTCTCATAAGTACTTTTAGAAAAACTTATCCAAACAAGCCCATATACTATTAATACATCACTTGTACTATTATGCACCTTTTAATTAATATATAGGTTGAAAAAAAAATTTCCCTAAAGTTTCACTTTACTTTTTAGTTCTAGTAATTTAAAATAGACATTTTTAATTTTTATACTTATCTTTTTCAATCATTTTTAGTCTCTATAGTTTAAAATAAATCTTTTTAGTCCTGTCCTTGTAGTTTTTTAATCTTTTTAGTCTTCATCATTAATTTTTTTTATAACATTATCTTTTTTATGTTGATGTAATAGAGGTCTTTAATTTTTTTAAGGTAAAAATAGTAGTATCTTAACAATGAAAGTCGTAAGTAATGGTATAAGAGAGATATGAAGCGTCGAGAGATTATAGTAACTTTAGTAAAATAAACTCAACATTAGAAAGTTGAAGTAATATTTATGTCCTGTCAATATGAAAGAGTCAACGTTATAAAAAAAATTAATAACAGAGACTAAAATAATTAAATAACTATAAATATGAGAACTAAAAAGACCTATCTTAAATTATAAGAACTAAAACTGATTTAGAAAGATAAATATAAGAACTAATAAAGCCTATTTTAAATTATAAAGGCTCAAAAAATTTTGAGCTATTATATAAACCATGACATTCTACCATCTCATTTCCTACACTTTTTGTCTATACATCTCTTTTTGGTAAAAGAGAAGAGAGAAATTCACCTTGTCTCTTCTCTCTTCCTTTTTCTTCCCAAAATAGATGTAAAACATAAGATTTAGAGACAACTTTGTTGTTAATACTTATGTCTTCTTTTCCTTTTCCTTTTCACTGCCATTTTTTTTAAGGAACCCTTTATTTGATCCTCAAAATGTGACCATATTAGTCATCCAAAGACTCCTGTCATCAAATCAACCCTTCAGTGATTCAAATATCAAATTAGCCCGTGTCATCACTTTAGTCTTTCGAAAGGACGAAAATAGTGGTGTTTTAGATTTTTTAGGGAATAATTTAGTCACAATTTTTTTAAAGAAATAATGTGATAGCATGGTAATCTTTGGAGGACCAAGTAGAGGGTATCATTTGTTTTATGCCCCTCAACAATGAAAATGTAATGGATAATATATGAAATGGAGTTACACACAAACGTCTTCCGTAATAAACTAATTATACCTTTTCTTCGCTTTGTATTTCAATCTCATTGTCAACTTTTGCAATCCATTCATTGTTCGGCTTCTCACATGTATACCTTTTCTCTGTTTCTAATAAACCAGGTTTGGTGAAATCAATGAATGGTCCAATAAGCCATCCGTAAAGGTAGCTGTAACAGTTGACGCTCCTACAGTTGTCAAATTGGTCATGGATCGTCTTATGGACTCTTGAAATAGCTATGAAGCATTCAAATAACACTGCTAACTGCTAAGTATTGTCCATTTGTATTTAAACAACACTAAAAAGGTGTTCTGATTATTCTTGTTATATTTTTGTTTTAAAGCTTTTGACCTCTACTTTGCATTTTATTTCAATTTCAGTGAGAAAGGAAAAATTGTGTTGCTTTCATTTGTCTGCGTCAATTAAATTTCAAAACTTTTCGGTATTCTTTAGAAGCCTCAATAACATCAAAACTCGCCTAAACACAAGCAACTTAACCTCTCGTCACCTCCCTACACTCCACCTAAGCAACCACGTAAGTAAGTTGCATGCAAACTTTGTGCACATGGACAGCAACTCCCCAAAACCCAATGGCCAACCTCACCAAAATCATCACTTTTGTGTTCATAATTGACTTTCCCACGGACACCCTAAAACCCATGTCCAACTCCCACTCAATAACCATTACTTTGATTTTCATTCACTAAAAAGTCAGTAGCTTAATTGTGATTATCTGGCAATTGCATTTATTTGTTTTTTAGTAACTATTTTAGCCTGTTATTTTAGATTAATTGAAAGATTAGGGAAATGTGAATTTTGGGTAACTGGTAAATGATGCGTCTGATGCATTTCTTTTGAATTGAAATGTATTGGAGATCAGAAGGAGTGTAAACCTCAAGCACTGAAAATGTATGTGCATATGATTTTTTTGTGTGATACAATTGGTTTTTAAGCATAATGAGAAGTTGTTACTATTGTGATAATTGATTTGTATGGTTTAAGTAGTCACATCTAAGTGACGTCTTGAGTGGTCACATTTCGACGACATAAATGGGATGATATTAATACATACATAGAAATGTGAGTACACAATAAGGCACAAAAAAAACTATATAAAGAGAGGCACGTGAGCATTTTAGTTGTGAAAATGTTAAAGCTTGCGAAATACAAGTAGCAGGATGCTACTGTAAGTAAAGAATAAAGAAAATGAAGTCATGTAGGGTGTCGAATTGGATAACATTCTATGGAGGCAGAATAACATGTGCACTAAGTGCGATGCAGAATACAAGATCTTCAAAATGTTATAATTGAGGACTTTGAGATGGGGTCTCAATGCTTGTGCATCAGTTCGTTGTTGTTCGGTGCCTTATTCCACCTACGGTGACAAAAGTTTAAACCTCACCAGTCCTCAGAGTATGGATGACCATAGTTGGTACATGGAGAGATTGTTGCGTACAACATGGTCATCCTTGAGGGTATAGGCATTGGATTGTGACAATAGTTTTCACATAGTCGAATTAGCAACTATAATTAAGTACTAACAATCATTAATTGGTGAGAGCTCGCCATTATACCGTGGTGAGGGGTGTACTTCTAATAGTACTCCTAACAATACTCCCAACAACCATCTAAACTAAATTGTGTAAGATTATTGAGCCTAAGAGTTCTAGTGGTAGTTGGCCAATACAAAAGAATCAAGAAGTTTTGTAACAAAAGGGTGTGTTACCACTAGTCGATGAACCATCAAAGGCCTTACCTCTAGCCAAGCAGTGCAACCCCTAACCTCTCAAATAGTTATCCCTGCACCTCCAACCCAAACGTCATATCCCAAACACAAGCCACAACACCCCCTTAGAAAACAAAAACAACATCATTGTTACCTAAACCCACCCAAACACAACCCATCATCATCGTGATTGACTCATCTTCAAACTCTGATGACAAGCCTATTTCTTTTTGCCTTAGTTGCAAACCTATCACTCCCACACCCCTTCCAAAACATGTTGAAGAAGCCCCTCAACAACCTCAGTCAAAGAAAAGATGATTGGTACAAGGTCTTCCAGTGCCTAAGATCAAGCAACAGGAAGAGAACAGTCTGAAATGAGCACAACGTCTAATGCTAGAGGAGGAGAAGTAGAACTAGAAGAAACAAGTTGAGTTGGTTGTAGGGGATGAAGCCATGATTTAGGAAGCACGTGTAGCATCTGTTGTTGAAGCTGCTTAGAAGGCGCAAGAACTAGAGCTAGAGCAGACTCTAAAAGAGCTCCCTATTTAAGGTGCTCACACCTTCTTTATGGCGAAGGTATACATCACCATCACATTGAGAAGGAAGCCCAATATCCTCTATCCAAGAACGCTTTCAAGGCCAAATATCATGCCTCACCACTGCCTATAACAGATGCAAATGCAATTTGAAGTGTCTCTTGAAGTGCCTTTTGCTCCCTTCCTTTTACAACAAGTTCCTACAGTACCAAAATCCACCACAATTGCAAATGTTGAAATTATTGTTCCATCTATGAAGCATTTCTTTTTTTTAAATCTACAGGTATTGAATTAGTCTCACTACTTGTTGAAGACACCATAGGAACAACCTTTGGACCAACGAATGATATTTCATTGTTTATTGTTTAAAAAAGCGTAATTGATGTTGAACCATTGAATGTGTTAAGTGTGTAGTCTAAGTTCTAAAATTGAAGTAGTCGCTAACTCTATTTTAAATATTTTTATTTTTTATTTTTTTAGCCACCGATTTTAGTTTGGTCGCTAAAATTATTATAAATAATATTATTTTTGATATAATTAGCGACCGATTCTATTTCAGTCGCTAAACTTATTATAAATAATAATTTTTTTTCATTTTTTAGCCACCGATTTTAGTTGGTCGCTAAAATTGTTATAAAATAATATTATTTTATTTTTT